CAGCAAATTTCTAACCGGGACACCTCTGGCCGCATTTATTAAAAGCGGGGAAAATTTCATCCCGCCCGTGCTCAAGTGGCGAATCGCAAACCCGCGGAAAACCACGCAGGCTGCAAAACACACAGGGCGCGGGGATTTGCTGAAGTGCTTTTCTGTAGCAAATGAAGTAAAACAGACGGCAAGGGAAAGGATCAAAGGATTACAACAATATTTGCACAACATGACTGGGAATAATGAAAGGAGAGAGCGGCCGGCGCTTTTAGCAGCTCTTGAATGTAAAATTGGCCACTCGAGTGTTATCTGTCGATAATGATACATCCAGGGAGCGCCGGCCAAAGTGACTCGGAATTAGCGGTGCATGATTCTCGCTAAATCGCCAGGCAATTTCTGGAATCGACTTTTCTTTGTAGCAGGAGAGGGGAGGGAAAAAAAATTATATATATAAAGAAAAAAAATAAAAATCCGCCCCTCTCGCCTCGCCTGGCGCTCGCCCCCTCCAGCCTCGCGCAAATTACCCAGCTGAGTTCTGCCCCCTCCCGTCCTTCCTCCCCTCCTTTTCGCCTTAATTTCCAGCCTGTGAAATCGTATTAATCTGCGAGATCTGCGGCGCGAGATGTTCGATAAATTGGGGAGGGGGCGAAGGAGCCGCCGCTGCTCCCGCGCCCGGAGAGGCGGCGGCGAAGCGGCCGCGGGGTAAAAACCCCCCGAAACCCACCCCAAAAAAAGCCAAAACCACCCCCCAAAAAAGTGTCCCGAGGGTATTTCAGAGGTGATTTCCAAAAGTTTGTTTGAAAGCGGAGCTCCGTAAATCGAGGCGAGAAGCGCAGGGAGATTTTTTGGGGGGAGAAATGTGAAGTTTTGGGAAGGTTTTGTTGTGCGGGTTTGGATCTCCCGGCCTTGAAAACGCCGGGAATGATTTCAAACCAAGGTGTGAAATCCCAAATCCGGACAAATTCCCAGGGGTGGACACACGGAGGGTGTCTCGAGGATGGGCGAGCGGCTCGGGCGGGAAATTTTATTTTCCCACTTTCCACGGGAAAATCTCCCGCGTGGTGCCGGGATAAACAAACACCGGGATAAACAAACACCGGGATAACCACGGAGCGCAGGGCACGGGCGAGACTTTCCTCCTTCTTTTAAACCTCCAAATCCCAGGAGAGAAGCGGGAGGTGCGGGGAAGGACACGCCGGATTTTTTCCCCTTTATTTTAACTTTTCCCCGGTTTTTTTGGGTCGGGTTTTTTTCCCCTGTGTCCCTCGCAGTGTCCACCCCGCTGGGCCAGGGCAGGGTGAACCAGCTCGGAGGGGTTTTCATCAACGGGCGCCCGCTGCCCAACCACATCCGCCACAAGATCGTGGAGATGGCGCACCACGGCATCCGGCCCTGCGTGATCTCCCGGCAGCTCCGCGTCTCCCACGGCTGCGTCTCCAAAATCCTCTGTCGCTACCAGGAGACCGGATCCATCCGGCCCGGGGCCATCGGCGGCAGCAAGCCCAGGGTGAGTGCGCTGCGGGCACCGCGCCCCAAAATTCCGCCTTGTTCCGGGGGTCAGCACGAGTTTTCCAAGTGGTTTTTTGTGTTTTTTTGGGTTTTTTTTTTCTTTTTTTAAGGGGGGGAAGGGTTTGAATAAAGCTTCGATTTTCGGCCTCTGATGGGGAGAAAGCGGGGCCCGAGCTGGAGGTGATGAATGGATTAAAGTGGTTTCTTTTTTGTTGCTTCCACGTGCAACAAGTGGTGCGCGCTGGAGCGATTCCGGCGGAGTGTGGGGAGCCGAGAATTCGGGATTGTTTGGGACTAGGAAATCCCTGGGTGTCCACAAACACCCCAAAAAGTGTCCCCTGCTTCGTCTCCCCGGAGATCGGGGAAACCCCACCCTGCCGGCTCTCCTGGCCCCCAGAGACCCCACTTTCAGGATTTGGGGGAGCGGGTCCTTTTCCCAGCTCTATTTCCCTCCTTTCCCCACTCCCAATCCCCATTTTCCACCCCAAACCCACCCCAAGCGTCGCTCGGCGCTTCTTTTGAATTAAAAGCGTTTTTTTCCTGCTCTCTCTGTCCGCCCCCGCGGGGACACCCCGGCGCCCCTTGGTCACAAAAGCAGGTCGCGACTCCCGACGTGGAGAAGAAAATCGAGGAATACAAGCGGGAGAACCCCGGGATGTTCAGCTGGGAGATCCGGGACCGGCTGCTCAAGGACGGGCACTGCGACCGCAGCACGGTGCCCTCAGGTGAGAAGGCAGCTTGGCCACAGCCCCGCGGGATGCTGGGCGGGAATGGTTATCCCACGGGAAAGGTTTGCCAGGGGATCCCAACACCCTCCTGGATTTGCTTGGATGGAGGGGGGAAATCACCCCGAGCAAACCCCGGCACCGGGGGGATTTGTGCCCTGGCTGCTGCAAAACTAAACACGGACAAAGCCCCTTGTGCGAACTTCTTCCAGCGCCCTGGAAAGCCGGGGGGATGCTGGGGCTGGGGGAGAACTCCAGAGGAGCCCCCCAAAACAAACCCAGGGGGAAAGGGGAGCCCGGGTTGTCCCGCTGGGATTTGTGCTGTGGGGGCTGCGCAGCAACTGCCCCATGGGGCAGAGATCCATGAGATCAGGAGATCCATGAGGTCCAGAGAGATCCATGAGATCCATCAGATTCCATGAGATTGCCAGAGATCAGAAGATCCATGAGATTCCCAGAGATCAAAGAATCTATGAGATCCTGAGACCCATGAGATCCATGAGGTCTCGAGAGATCAGGAGATTAATGAGATCCCGAGATCAGGAGATCCATGAGATTCCATGAGATCCATGAGATTCCATGAGATCCCCAGAGATCCCGAGAGGTCCCGAGATCCATGGGGAGCGAGGCTGGATCCCAAAGCTGGGCCTGCAGGGATGTGTTTGGGGTCCGGGCAGCTCTGTCTGTGGGATCCCTGCCTGTTTTGGGGCGGCTCTGTAGGGCCAGAGCAGGCCCGGGGCTCCATCCCGGCTGTGCGAATTTGGGAATTGCGAAGATTTTCCCACAATTTGCAAGATTCGTGGAGGCCCTGGGGATGTGCCTATCCCTGGATGTTGGCACATCCCAGATGAGGCGACCAGCGGATCCCACTCCGGGAATTTGGGGGGCTCGGAGATGCCGGCAGGTGCATTCCCATGGGAAGAGCGGCATTCCCGGCGGCTCCCACTTTTCCCAGGCAGCTTATACTCGCCTTTCTGCCTTTGACTGTCCGAGGTTTAGTGAGTTCGATTAGCCGCGTGCTCCGCATCAAATTCGGCAAGAAAGAGGAGGACGAGGACTGCGACAAGAAGGAGGAGGACGGCGACAAGAAGGCCAAGCACAGCATCGACGGCATCCTGGGCGACAAAGGTACCGCGCGTCCCCGCGCCGCGCCGGGGGGGACAGCGGGGACACGGCCCTGCCCCACGGGGGTGGCTCCAGAGCCGCCCAGTTCGGCTTTTCCCCAAAAAAACCCAAAAAATCCCTGCGGGGAGCGCTGCCAGGAGGAGGGAGAGTTGTCGGTGTTTTGCTCGGGATCAATTATCCATTAAAAAAAAAAAAAAAAAAAAAAAAGGCCGGGAATGGCCGGAGGGGGGGAGAGGCACCTCGGAGGCCGTAAATGAATTTGTTAAACAGATTTCGCTGCCGCCGCCTAAGTGGTCCCCTGGAAGCGGGGCTGACAGGTGACCGATGGCGCCGATCAATATCAATTAGGGAGCGGAGCCGCCAGCGCCGCCGGGCACCCAGGGGACACAGGGGGGTCCCCGGAGCCGCGCTGCACCCCCCAATTATCCTGGGAAAAATTATTATCCTGGAAAACCATGCAGGAAAAGTGATCCAGGGGATGTGATCCAGGGAAAATCCTCGCGGCGCTGGCGGGGGAAGGCTCCGAGCCAGGCTCTGTTGTCACCTCCCAGACTCGGCAGGAAAATTCCAACTTTTCCCAGCTGGGAATGCGGGCTTGGGGGCGGGAATTGGAGAGCGGGCAGCGCCGCGCTTCCAAAACAAAACCAAACCAAACAATTTAAAAAAAAAAGGTGGAATTTTGAGGGAGCATCCGCGAGTTTCGTCAGGGCAAACGGGGGGAGCTGGAGCCGCTCGGTTCGGGCGCGGAACGAGCGCCGAGTGCCGGAGCTCGGCGCATTTTTTGGGGAGAAAACGGCGATTTTGGGAGTCCCGAACAGCGGGAAGTTGGGATTTGCCAAAATTTCACTTTTCTCCCGAATCGGCACGAAGCGAGGACGGGCCGGGGTTGAGCCGAGTTGGAATTTTGGGGGATTTGTGGCATCGCCGCTGTCGGGGTGAGCGGGATTCTCCCCCAGTCCCGGCGTGGGAATCGCTCCCAAACTTTCCCCGTCGCTCCCAAATTTCCCCCAGTCTGGGACAAGTGGGGCAGTGGTGACGTGGGGGGAGTTTTGGGGCAGAAAAATCTCCCCCGAGCAGCGATTACAGGAGTTGGAAATGAAGGTGCTCAAAAGGGGTTTTATTTTATTTCATTTTATTTTTTAAAGGATCCGATCCTTTCCCCCCCCCCTTCTTTTCCCAACCTTGAAGATGAACTTCACTTACAAAGACCTTCGAGTCTATTGAAGCTTTATAAGGAAAAGATTCCTGACCACAAAAGCAAACAGCGGAGGAGAAAAAAAAAAAAAAAAAAAAAGAGAGAGAGAAAAGAAAAAAAGAAAGGGAAAAAAAAAAGAGGGGGGAAAAGGGGGAAAAACCCGAGGCTGCCTTAAAAATGGAGTAAAGGGATGGGGGAGGGAGGGCGCGTCCATTCTCATTCAAAATTCCGCGAGGAGGAGAAAAACTTTTGGACAAAGGGCCGAGGACGGGAAGAAAGGGAGATAAATTATTCAAAACTCCCTGCTGTTAGATAGTTTTGTAATATTATCGGAGCGGCTGCTGCAGAAAGGCAGAGCCGTTGGACGCTGCAAAATGTTGCTGTGATTTGGGAGAGGGGCGATGCTCATTTGCAAATCGGGGCCATTGTGTCCGCCAGAAGCTCCCCCCCGCTCACTTTCGGGGTGTTTTTTATTTTATTAAAGGGGGGAGGAAAGAGATTTTGGGGGGGGGTTAAGTTGTGTTTTCAGCCAGGCTCGCCGCTCAGAAAAATATCTTTATTTTTGAAACAGCGGGTTGGGCTTTTTTTTCCTCCCTGTCCCCGCGTTTACCCCCAAAAGAACAGACAAAAAAAAAAAAATTAAAAAAAATAAGAATGAAGGAGCGGGGAGCTTTTTATCCCTGATTAGCACGCAAGAAGTGCGTGTCAAGAGGCAAAACAAAACGCTCCCTTCTGCCTTCATGGGTGAGGCCGCGGACAAATCAAACACGAGCCCCGGTTCCTGGATGAAAGGGGGCTAATTTGGGCAAATTCCCGCGGCCGGAGCCTGTGGAGCGCCGCGCTCCCTCCGAGCGCGCACAATCTCTCCCGGCCCTGCAGAGAAATCCCAATTTTTCCCTAATTCCCGGGTTTTTATCGCCGCCCCCGCTGTCGAACCGAGGAGAAATCCCCAAAAAGCCGCGTGAATTCGGGTGGTTTTTTTGGGTCCTGCGCGTCTCCAACGCCGCGGCTCCAACAGGAGCGTCCAAAATTCCGAATTTCCCGCTGCCCGGGCGGGTTTTAACGCCTGGGAAAGTGTTAATGGCCCCAATTAAGATAATTGATGATCCCGCTTGTAAAACACTGGCAGGCGGCGGCTGCGCGCTGGAAAACGCCGCGGTTCCTGCTCTGGAAAAAACTCTCGATTTCTGCTGGAAAAAACCGCAATTTCTGCTGGAAAACAACGCGATTTTACATCCCGCAATTAAAATCTCATCAGGGCCGCTTCTCCCTCCACCCGGTTTTTATTTCCAGGAGCCTCCCACCAAAACAAACCAAACCTCGCACTGCTTGAGGGAGGGGGGGAATTTTTATTTATTTATTTATTTTTAAATCAATTTCTGCTTCACCCTCCGAGAGCTGCTGGGGGAAAGGGGCGAAAAACTTTGGGTTTGCTTTCTTTTTTTTTTTTTAATCTTTTTTAATTTTTTTTTTCTGCTCCGTGGCGGGTTCTCCTCGCGGGGAGCCGGGGGAAGACAGCCCTAAATGCTCTCTCTTTTTAAGTGGGAAAGAAAGCTTCCACCCTGCGCCTGTTTCTTTCTATCGTCTGCTTGGCATTTAATAATGTTAAGACTTATTAGAGCTGGTAATGAAAACTGTGGCTGTTGAATAGGGAGCTGTGTTGGAGAAGGGTGTAATAGCTCCAAGGCATGCTAAGAAATGTATTTATCCCCAATCAGTACTCACTCTCTGAGTTCCCAGCACAAACGTTAAGTTGAAGGGTTTTAAGGCAGATTAAATTGAGCCTTTATTTCTTTGCACTTTCATCTTTAAACGGCTCACTCCAGCTAGCCCTGGGCGGATATTCATGAGGCTTCACTTTGGGTTTTTTTAATTTTTTTTTAATATATGTTTATTTTATATATATATATCTATCTCCTTGTTAAGAGCGAGTTGTTGTTACTGTTTGTTGTTATTGTTATAATTATAATTATCTGGGGTTGTTGTTATTTATCAGGGAGGGGATGCGCCGCTCTCTCCCTCGCTGGGGGTGGAATTTGGGCACCCCCAAATTTCGGGGGGCGCCGCTCGGGGGTTGATGGGGAGGGGCAGAAGGTCCTGGGGGAGGGGAGGGAATTGAGGGAGCCCAGACCCGGGGGGGTGTCCGGAGGGTCCCCCCTGGACCCCACGGGGACCCCCGGGTTTGGTTTTTGGGGTGGAAACGCGGATTTTTAGGGAATTTTCCGCACTCTTCTCTGTGCCCCCCAAGTTTGTGCTCTCGGCCGATTTTGAGGGAAAAGCGGCGGGGTCGGGGTTCCGGATTTGGGGGGAAAACAGGAGAGGGGTGGGATCGGGGTTCCGGATTTGGGGAAAACAGGAGAGGGGTGGGATCGGGGTTCCCGATTTGGGGAAAAAGAGGGAGAGGGGTGGGATCGGGATTCTGATTTTGGGGAAAAGCGGCAGAGCGGAGGGATCTGGGTTCCCAATTTGGGGGAAATCGGGACAGTGATAGGATTGGGGTCCCCAGTTTGGGGGAAAAGAGGGAGAGAAGCGAGATCGGGGTTCAGATTTTGGGGGGAAAAGCAGAAGAGGGGCGGGGTCGGGGTTCTGAATTTGGGCTAAAGCGGCAGAGCAGAGGGGTCTGGGTTCTGATTTTGGGGAAAAAGGGGAGAACGGCGGGATCGGGGTTCTGAATTTGGGGGAAATCGGGACAGTGGTGGGATTGGGGTTCCCAGTTCGGGGGGAAAGAGGGAGAACGGAGGGATTTGGGTTCCCCGGAGCTGGGGACACTGCGGGAGGGGGGACAGGGACAATTCCAGCCGGGAGCTGCCAGTGCCGCTCCCGCCGGGTTTTTGGGGAGCCGGGGGGGTTTGGAGGGTCCGGCCCGGTTTGAGGGAGCTCGGGAGGAGCGGCCAGAGAAGGGGGGACCCCCCACACCTGGGCAGGGGCTTTGTTCCCCGAGCCGGGCGTGAGACAGGAGGGGCTGCGGGGCCGATTTATCAGCAAACAATCGGCGCGGGTTTAAAAACCAACACGCGGCTCCTCTGTAAATGTGTGTTTAGAAGCGCGGGGGGGGCCGCGAGCAGACACTTCATCAAATCAAGGGATTACCAAAGGTTGGCAATCTAATCAAACAGAGCCCAGGCGGGATTTGTGAGTGTTGCGAGCGGGATCAGCTCTAATAATGGGGGGCAGGAGAAGAGATAGGGAGGTGTCAAGCAATTCATTGGCTTTAGGCTGAGTTATTCTGTGCATATTTCAGGCCGAGAGGAGAGGGAAGAGAGGGAAAGAGGAATAAAAAAAAAATGCAGGAGAAGGGAGAGGGAGGGGGGGGCTGGATGCGGGCGCACACGGAGCTTACATGTCACAAAAAAAGCTGAGACAAATGAGGTACAACAATAAACACAGATAACAATTACAAAGGCAAACAGTGGCTTTTGGGAACGGGAACCTGGGCTACATAAACAAAGTCGGCAAATGTTCGCAAGATAAACTCCTGCCTAAATCGAGTGTGACGGGGAGGAGAGAAGAGAGGAGGAGAGATAAGGCTGGAGAGGGGAATAAACGAGAATAATCGAACACGAGGCGTTTGAAAAAACAAACTTGAGACAAGGATGCGGCGAGCGGGGCTCGGCTCTACGGGAGGGAGCGAAGGGACAGCAGGGAGATGTCCGAGATCCTTGGGGTTGGGGTTTGTCCCCTCTTCCCCCTCCCTTTTTGGGGGAGAAGAAAAGGATCCATCCTGGAGCGGGGGGAATGGGAAGGGAAATCTCGGGATTGGAGGCAGGTGGGGAGCCCCGGACGGCAGAGGAAGCGCGACGGAGACGTT